TTTAATAAATAAAGTTTGCCTGGAGATCAGAGGAAATAGCAAGCCATTTTAAGTAAACAAAGAAGTCAGGCAGCGGTAGCACACACCCTTAATCCTATCACTCAGCAGGCAGGATCTCTGTGTGTTCAAGGCCACACTAGGGAACAGAGCCAAGTGTGGTGACACATGACTTTAATCCCAGTACCAACCATAGAGGTCTGGAGGCCTGTACAGATAGGAAGTGACAGAGCTGGCCAGGAAGAGGAAGTGATGTAGCTAGACAGAGAGCAAACCAGATGGCAGAACAGCAAGGCATATAAGGTAGACAGGAAGTCGCTCCCTTTGGAAGCTGTGGAGTTGGTGAGGTAAGGCTAGCTGATGGCTTTCCCCATTTCCCTGATCTCTAAGGCTTTCACCCCTATATCTGGCTCTGTGTTTTTTATTTAATACGACCATTTAGAAAATCGTCTACAGTTCTCTTTATAACCAGCTAGGTCCTTCCAGACAGCATCACCCATTGTGAGAGGTCTTCTCCATTCAGTCAACCCTTCCGGAAACTACCTAAAGGTCCCTTGCCACACTAGCCTATCTCTAGGTGGATTCCAGATCCAGTCAACTTAACAACCAAGACTACTCATTCCCTTATCCTTTAGACTCATGTTTAAATCAACACTCATTCCAGGAAGCAAAGGCTGACTCCATACCCCAAAAGCCCATGACAGTGGGTGCCCTCATGAACAATGCATCTTGGAACACAGCTTTGACCTTTCCTTTGGTCCCCTTCTGCTGAAAACCAGCCATTAGTTACAATGCTAAATAGGCTCAATGGTTCTATTCAATGATTCTCAGGCCAAGCACATAATTGCATCAACCAGAAGCTTATGACAAACACAGGAACCCTGTGCCCACTACAACAGAGTCAAGAAAACTTCTCAGGCAGTTCATATACATTTGAAGCAGAAACTAAGGAATGTGGGAATTCAATGCACGTGGTCATCAGGGCTACCTCATTTTTAGCTCGTCCTTCTTATACTTTCAATAACAGTGTACTTGCTGTTTTATTGTTCACGTGATACCATGTAGGTAGTGTTTCAAGTCTGTGTCTTGCCATCAGGATAAACCCCCTGCCTCTTCCATGTTCATAAGCCGAGAGTTTCACCTAGTAAATTGGAAGTGCTCTCTAAATCAGTCACATGACTAGTTCCCACAGTTTCCTCTTCCATCTACACTCACACAAATTGGCACCTCTTTTGCCACAGGCTACATGAATGTCTCCTTTTCCAGGGCTTTTACTATAGCTCTACTTTAATCTTTTCTGATTAATTGTGTTCATGTCATGATAGATACCCCATAAGACTCAGGAGCAGCATGGCCCACAGCATCCACAGCAGGGGTAAGTACCTTAAAGAAAGGTGATATGGTTATTTTGCTACATAGGAATGAGGAAAATCCTTGCCCTTCCCTGGGTGTCTATCTGGCCACTTAGTGTGTGGCTGGACTTTTACAGGCTCTGCCTTGGAGTTTCAGAGAGTGAAAGCAGTGGGAACGTGTACACTGGTCAGGGACTGCGGCCTTCAGAGAAAAGAACCGGATTATCTGCAAAAAAATCATAGGTGATGCAGCCTATCTAGGGTCCAGCAGCAGCTCAGCTCAGCATCTTCCCAGGACTCTGGAGAGCTGCAGAGATGAGAGGGCAACACCAGCCAGAGGTGGTTCTTGAGGTCCTCCAGGGGCTCATGAGGAAGTCGTAGCCAAGGGACAGACATCTACAAACTGCTATCTCCAAGTGTGATTGACACTGTAAAATGGCAGCTCCGATTCCCGCCAGGTGCAAACAGGAGGCAAGAAAGTGAACCAGCGCATCCATATCTGAATGGAATGGCAGAAGTCATAAAGCCAGCACAGCTGCTTGACAAAGATCCAGCAAAGCTGAGCCACATGATGGCTGCCATGCCACCTTTGGTTTTCATGTCCATTTGTTGCATACTTGGGGAACTTTTAATATTTGTACAATTTGGGAATATTGGATTGATGGAATTTCTTATGACTTATGACTCCTTTATGCCTTCTCCCAGGAATACTGCTTCTAAACTTCCCTAGGAAAGTCCTGAACATACTACCTCTCCTACTTTTGGGGAGATATGCTTATCTACTTGAAAGTCTTCCTTACATCTTAGAGGTTCTGACACACATAAAGAAGCCAGAGGTCTCTTTATGAGGCTATGAGGCACTCTTGAAACATCTGTCCCTGTACTTACTCAGAAACAAGATAATCAAAACAAAGTAAACTTTAAAAAGTCAACAAGACTCAGTGGGTTGACCACAGATCAGATGGCAAGCCTCTTCCCACTGTACACTCAGACAATTATGCAACAAAGTTAGATTAGCTGAAGTTACCTCTGCCTACACCGGGACTTATATTGATGAGCAAAGTATGAAGTGGAAAGATGATAAAAGAATGAGATGTCAGGACCTCCCTTTCTTAGTAAAGTTAGAATCACTGTGATGTCATGTGGCCAAAGAACAACAGAATGCCAGGATTAGACATATAGACAAATTCTATAAAGATATAAAATATAAACATTTATTATGCCAGAATTTAAATAATAACAGCAGCAGCTTTGGCCTGAGGATTTTTCCTGGGCACTCTGACCACTGAGAGTTAATAACACACTGCTTGGGACATGGCAATATGCCTGGGCTGACTTGAAGATTTTGTTTTGGTCTAGTGTCCTTGAAGCAACTAAAACTACCAGCCTGAAAACAAGCTGTCATATGCCTCTAGACTCGTAAAAATTGGGTTATGAAGTTAATGAGTAAAAAATGATAACTGTTTATTGTGGTGGTAATCTAATTGTATTGAAATATTATTTTGATTTGTACTGAAATATTAATTTGATTGTATGT